CATAGCTGGGAGATCTCCTTCCAGGAGATGTTCAGTATTGCAGGGGAATTGTCTTCAAAGAAGAAATGGCTGATGGATTCCCTTGTGTTTATAACATTCCTAAAACCTCTGTTTTTGTTGTAGTATCACATTAGCAAACTGTCGTTGTCTACTGAAATACAGGATTTTAAAAATGAGTCTGAAGTCGATGAAGTAGAAGCAGCACTTTCTAATTTGGAAGTGACCCTGGAAGGTGGAAAAGCAGACAACACTTTGGTATGAATTTTTCTGATAACTCAGAATTGTGGCTTTGCTCTGACTGATTGACAAACATAGATGAGTTTTTTTATTATTATACATAAGGGAATATTTTGTCTGATTTTGAAAAATAGAAAATACTCTTTTCATCTGACAAACTTAAACCTAGCAAGAACTGACTAGCTTTTCTCAGGTCGCTCTGTAAGAGATGGTAAGGTATTTTCATCACTCTCAATGACAATTCTTTCATATTGTATTTCTTCTTAAAGATAAGCTAGCTTGTATGAGGGAAAGACTGCTGAGGGCTCCATTTCACTAGTGTGGAACATGAATTGGCCCTTTAACTTAAGTCTAGAAGAATGAGGTAGCTGTGAAAGTAGAGAAACCATATGATCTGTTGACTTAGTCATACATTTCAACTGGGCAAGGTTGGACATTGTAAAAAGTTCCTGAACCTTTTGACTTTAGTAAATAAAGAAAAACTCTCCGGTAAAACATAAAGAAATAACACTGTTTTATCATCTTTATTGCTCCTTATCCAAGAAATGTGGCTGAATGTCAGCTTTATAATTGCAATGCCCCTCCTTGTTTGATTCATTCGTTGGGAGCCACTCTTTTGTATAACTTCTTCAGTCATTAGTTTAATCACATTGAATCAGAGAGGTAGAGTCATTGTAATTGGCTATAAATAGCAATAGATAAAAATGAGTTGTTATATAGTTTTGTATTTAATGTGTGTTCTATTATGGTTAAATTCCTTAAAATAGGAAATTGGTATCATGCCAAAGCAAATACTTCATACAAACTGAATTCCCAAATTCTGTAGAGATTCAGGCCCTGAATCACATTTATTAGAGACATGGGTCCCATGAAATTGGACTTCTCTTTTGTCTACATCCTCCACTAAATACTTAGAATGGAAAAGTCATCCTTCTTAGAATAAATAAAAAATTCCCTTCTCACCTCCCTCAGTATTTTTATTTGATGCCAAACAATAGTTTTTCTGTTTGAAAAAAGGCACCAACCTACACTGCAGAATGAACTTTGAACGAGATTCCTTCTGAGAGTTTAATCAGTTAACTAGATATAGCAAGACTTATCCACTCTGATGTAAACATTGTAAAATATTTTGTTTATACATAAAAGTAGTAGTTTTTTTAAATAAATTTATTTCTTTTATTTATTTATTTTTGGCTGCGTTGGGTCTTTGTTGCTGCACATGGGCTTTCTCTAGTTGCAGCTATCAGGGGCTACTCTCCATCGCGGTATGCAGGCTTCTCATTGTGGTGGCTTCTCTTGTTGAGTAGCATGGGCTCTAGGCACGCGGGCTTCAGTAGCTGTGACACGTGGGCTCAGTAGTTGTGGTGCACGGGCTTAGTTGCTCTGTGGCATGCGGGATCTTCCCGGACTAGAGCTCGAACCCATGTCCCCTGCATTGGCAGGTGGATTCTTAACCACTGCACAACCAGGGAAGCCCCAAATTAGTAGTTTCTAACTCAAATTTTTAACTTGAGTGATAGTGTGTGGTAGTTTTTAAAATCTTTTTTCATTTGTGTAATATATGACACAGAAAAGTAAAATATACAAAAACGTACAGCTTAACAAATTAGTATTAATTTATCACCCAAGTCACCACCCAAATCAAGAACTAGCACTTTATCAATCACCCCAGAAGTCCCACATGTGCCCGATCCTAGTCCTAACCCTCCCCCACCTCACCCCCAAGGTAACAACTGGAAATGTAGCTGGTGTGACTGAGGAACAGAGTTTTTCAATTTATTTAATTTTAATTAATTCTAATGTAAATAGCTACACATGGCGGGTGGCTACAGTGTGGGACAGTGCAGGTACAGAGTATCAGCACCACATGTCTAATTACTGCTTGTCAAATGTTATCTGCTTTTCCTCAGGAGGACATTACTGATATCCCTAAACTTGCAGATAATCTCAGATTATTTAGGTAAGTCACCCTTGAAGAGGAAAGAAGTTACACAAAATCTTGCAGGTAAAGAGTCTAGGAGTTTAAATTGAACATCCATTAGGCAGGTTCATTGTTCAAAGGTAAGATCAAGAGCTTTGGCATCAGGCAATGGATGAAGTCCTAGCTCCACTATGCACATCAGCTGGGTGACCTCAGGCATTGTCCTTATGTCCCTGAGCCTCAGTTTCCTGATCTATAAAGTGGGGATATACCTCCCCTTAGGCTTGTTTGGAGAATTAAATTAGATGATGCATATGAAGCATTGAGCATGGTGCCTGGCTCATTAAATGGTGGTGTAAACACGGCTGGTGTCAGTGATACTGAACACATATGCCAGACTGGAATTCCTTCTATGGTCCACCTGCTCAGGACTCTCACACTATTTGAAAGCTCTTTCATGGTTTAAAAATCAGTTGTCTCTAGAACTTTGATCCTGGGCTTATAGAGAGTAGTCACCTTAGTTTATCTACCTTCACCTGTTAAAGTATTTCTGATAAACTCCCCAGTCACCTCAGGTCAATCTGAAACTGTTGAAAAGGCAGAGAAGTTTTTTACCTTCTTCATGGGAAGAAAGGGCTGCCACATTTGTGATGGTGCCAAGGTGGGTTAGGATGAAAAGAGTAGGGTCCCTTTGAAGTTCTATCAGTTACTTTATGGTTTGTTGACTTTTCTTAACAAGCTGACACTTCACTGAGTCAGTTGGCTTGAAAAGAAACACAAGTCGCTTTTTTTAACATATGATGCAAAGAAAGACTTGGAAAGAATGAACAATGAATCAGCTATAAATGAGAAACAAGCGTCTGAAGGTAATAATATTTGTCACTGGGTTTCTACAAGGTTTTTTTTTTTTAGTGTGATTTTAGCAGATGGTTCCAAACAATAGAGTCATTCATTTAACTTCTGTGGCATAAATAGTTGCAACCACGCATATTGTTATAGTCAGAGCTACAGAAAAAAAAATAATGATTTGAATCCACAAATATATCTTAATAAATTATTAATAATTGTTCTTAAAAGAAATTCAGTTGCCGCTTTCTCTATATAGAGCAAATTGGGCTCTTCACAAACCAAATAATGACAATATTCTTCCTATAGATGTTTTTGATGAAGGAAGCGATATCCTGAAACTAAGCCCTGCATCCGTATCACTTTAGGGTGATTATTATGCTAAAACTCACAAAGTTGTCCTCATATTTCACCAGTGGCCACTTTATCTACCAAAGGTTTCAAGGCAGTGAATGTATAATATAATATGGTTTCTGGAAGAAAAAAATAAAGGAGGAATGGGGGGATGAAACAGAAAAGGAGAAGGGAAGGGAGGAAAGATGTTGGAGAGAGGAGCTCTGCTGCTAGTGGGTGTGTCACCCTTATAGACCCTTCATTTCTCTGGGCCTCCTTTCCTCAGCAGGAGAAGAGCATTGAACTAACCCTTTGATTTTTAATTTTTTTTTTCTTTGAGAGTGAAGCTCTTTTTTCCCCCCTAAACCACATCTATTGAACCACTATATAAATAGTGAACTTCACTTCCTAGCAACATGGCCTCTGATCTGATGCAAATCTCAGTCTCACTATAAATTCATTTGAATGTTAGGTAAGATAAAAAGAATTGTCAATACAAAGTTGATCTTGAAGTGAGACTGGGAAATCTCAGCTTTGCAGGAAACGAAGAGGGAACTAGTTCTACAAATGAAGCTTCAGCTGCACAGGGGGCTTTGGCCATGAACATTGATTCTCACGGCTCAGGGCTGGGATTTTAATTCCCACACAGGATTCAAGGTAGGGTTGCCTCCTGTAAAGTTATGCGCCAGGACTGAAGCTGCTGCCTAAAGCCAGAAACTTGCAAGAGCTGCCTTCTCTGCTTAACAGGGAGTAGAAAAACTGCCCATCAGTCGAAGGAAGAGTAAGTTCATCCTTGCATAGAGTGCTGTGTGGGGAGATGAAATGTCTCTTGAAAAGTCAGAGCCAAGGTCTGTGCCACACACAGATGCAGACCTAAATTTAAATGTCATATATGATAAGAGAATTCTGAAAAATAATACACAAACTGGTCCAGAACCACAAAAGCTATGAAACCCTAGCAAATGTAATTGCAAAAATACTTGGAGGGAAATATTCACAATCTAGCATGCGTGGGCCTTCTACAACACCCCAAAAACAAAAAAACAAACAACCTCCCAATAAAAATTACTAACCATATGAGTTCATGAACCACCATAAAGAAAAGTCAGTAGGCCCAGTAAATAAGAGGATTAGCCATTTTAATAATTTTAGGTAATAGAAAAATCTGAAGAAACCATAAAATGAGTATGTTTAGAATCATTAAGTACATTGAAAGGTAAAAATTATAATGAAAGGCAGTATTAGAAACTCTAAAAAAGAAAAATGTAGTCATAGAAATTTAAAATTGAATACATGTATTAAACATCAAGTTCAAAACACAAAGAGAGGACTTAGAAAGGTAGAAGTGGAAGATATGGTATAGATAGAATGAGAAGGTTCAACTAGGAGTTTCAGAAGGAAAAAAAGGGGAGAAGCAAACATTCCAAAGAGAATGCTTATTTTCCATAATTGTTGAAGACAAACTCCTTAAATTCAAGAATCACAAATCCCAACAAAATAAATCAGTATAAACGTACGTCTTGGTATGGCCAACCATTGGTAAGAGAAGGTATTTAAAGTCAAAGAGAAAAGATAGATTTCCTATAAAGGAAAAACATTTCTTGTTGGCTGGAAGATATCTTGAAAGGGCTAAGAGAAGATAACAATCAATCTAGAACTTTATGCCCAATCTCTCAACATTTTACTTGCTACAAACCCTTAAATATAAATCAGGCTAGATACAATCCTAATAGTCAATTACATATTTAATAAAAACAATGATTTATCCCCAAACTGTAAGGTGTAACCACTGTTGGAGAGACTACCTTGGAATAAATGGCTCCACAGCAGGGTTATAGGGAGAGGTTACAAATAAAACTCATTCATGGAGTCATTCATAATCAAGTTACTGTAGCCAAGAATTTCCAGTCAGACATACCCAATGTGCTATAGAAGACTGTCAGTGTGATTTAGTTCATAAATAAGAGACTCTTAAATTTGGTAGAATCTTTACAGTATTTTTAAAGAGATGGAGGGTGACCACGAAAATCTTTGGTCCTACTCTAAGGCTTACTGGTTATCACATGCAAAATTACCTGTAAGAGTTATACTTAAAAAAAAAAAAAAGAGGGACTTGCCTGGTGGCTCACTGGTTAAAAACCCACCTGCCACTGCAGGGGACACAGGTTCAATCTCTGGTCCGGGAAGATCCCACATGCCACAGAGCAACTAAGTCCAAGAGCCACAACTACTGGGCCCACCTGCTGCAACTACTGAAGCCCATGCATCTAGAACCCGTGTTCTGCAATGAGAAGTCACTGCAATGAGAAGCCTACTACCACAACGAAGAGTAGCCCCTGCTCACTGCAACTAGAGAAAGCATGCGCACAGGAACGAAGACCCAACACAGCCAAAAAAAAAAAAAAAAAAAGAAGTTCCAAATCTGTGACATCTCTGTGATGATAAGTGGCCATCAGTAGTGAGCCTCCAGATACTTTCAAAATAATAAATGCACTTAATCTGTCATTTAGGAAAAGGTGATTGTAAAATGAGTGAGAAAATAACGAGTTTTTGAAAGATATTAATGCTGTGAAGAGAACATTTTGGGTTTTTGGGGGGGATTTTTTTTGTTTTTTTAACATCTTTATTGGAGTAAAATTGCTTTACAATGGTGTGTTAGTCTCTGCTTTATAACAAAGTGAATCAGTTATACATATACATATGTTCCCATATCTCTTCCCTCTTGCATCTCCCTCCCTCCCACACTCCCTATCCCACCCCTCTAGGTGGTCACAAACCACCTAACTGATCTCCCTGTGCTATGTGGCTGCTTCCCACTAGCTATCTATTTTACATTTGGTAGTGTATATATGTCCATACCACTCTCTCACTTTCTCAAAGCTTACCCTGCCCCCTCCCCATATCCTCAAGTCCATGCTCTAGTAGGTCTGTGTCTTTATTCCCGTCTTACCCCTAGGTTCTTCATGACCCTTTTTTTTTTCCTTAGATTCCATATATATATGTTAGCATACAGCATTTGTTTTTCTCTTTCTGACTTACTTCACTCTGTATGAAAGACTTTATGTCTTTACTACTAATCTCTCAATTTCGTTTCTTTTTTGGCTGCATAATATTCCATTGTATATATGTGCCACATCTTTATCCATTCATCTGTTGATAGACACTTAGGTTGCTTCCATGTCCTGGCTATTGTAAGTAGAGCTGCAATGAACATTTTGGTACATGACTCTTTTTGAATTATGGTTTTCTCAGGGCATATGCCCAGTAGTGGGATTGCTGGGTCATATGGTAGTTCTATTTTTAGTTTTTTAAGGAACCTCCATACTGTTCTCCATAGTACCTGTATCAATTTGTATTCCCACCAACAGTGCAAGAGGGTTCCCTTTTCTCCACACTCTCTCCAGCATTTATTGTCTGCAGATTATCTGATGATGGCCATTCTGACCGGTGCGATGTGATACCTCAGTGTAGTTTTGATATGCATTTCTCTAATGATTAGTGATGTTGAGAATTCTTTCATGTGTCTGTTGGCAATCTGTATATCTTCTTTGGAGAAATGTCTATTTAGTCCTTCTGCCCATTTGTGGATTAGGTTGTTTAGTTTTTTGTTATTGAGCTGAATGAGCTGTTTGAAAATCTTGGAGATTAATCCTTTGTCAGTTGCTTCATTTGCAAATATTTTCTACCATTCTGAGGTTTACCTTTTTGTCTTGTTTATGGTTTCCTTTACTGTGCAAAAGCTTTGAAGTTTCATTAGGTCCCATTTGTTTATTTTTGTTTTTATTTCCATTTCCCTAGGAGATGAGTCAAAAAGGATCTTGTTGTGATTTATGTCATAGAGTGTTCTGCCTATGTTTTCC